GCTTGATCCGTGCCAGGTGCAGGGTCTGCTGGCTGGGTGCTGGCAGGCTTGCACCTGGCACGGGCACCGTAGCCAGCCCGTGCCCCTTGAAGGGGTCCGGGGCCGGGAGGGGGGCAGACGAGTTTCCCTAGTGTTGGCCAGAGTGGCCACCAGGGAAAGCTGGGGAGGGCTAGCCTCCCACTAGTTCGAATTAAGGGTCTACACACCCCTTAATTTGAACTAGCTAGTTTGAACTAGGATTAATCATCGTAAAATGAGGTTTTCCTAGTTCGAACTAAGCGCTCCGCTAGTTCGAATTAAATTTGAACTAGCGGAGCGCTAGTGTAGTGCCTATGAAAGTTAGTTCAAACTAACATCCGTTAGTTTGAACTAGCCTCCCACTAGTTCGAATTAAGGGTCTACACACCCCTTAATTTGAACTAGCTAGTTTGAACTAGGATTAATCATCGTAAAATGAGGTTTTCCTAGTTCGAACTAAGCGCTCCGCTAGTTCGAATTAAATTTGAACTAGCGGAGCGCTAGTGTAGTGCCTATGAAAGTTAGTTCAAACTAACATCCGTTAGTTTGAACTAACTTTGTAGTGTAGACATACCCAGAAAGAATAAGGGAGCAGGGTGGGCACAGAAAGAAATTATGAAGTAAGAGAGAAGATATAACTCAGAGAGGCCTAATGCTAGTCATTACTCCCCTAGTTCAAATGTTTACTATATCTACTAAAGCTATGGTAAACACCAGACTAGTTCTTTGTATTTGCATTATTCTGATCAGATAAGCAACATGCAGAGCAAGACATGTGATATAGGAAAGGTGCAGGAAAGAAGGCTACCTAACCGGAGAGAAAGAGTAAGGGAGAGAGGAAGTGCGCAAAAGAGAAAATACCACACACTTTTAACTGGGGCTATATAAACTTTTAACTGGGGCTATATCCCTGCTGGAAAGGGATAACAAGTGGAGTTCCGCAAGGGTCTGTTTTGGGACCAGTACTGTTCAATATCTTCATCTATGATGTAGATATTGGGATAGAGAGTACGCTTATTAAGTTTGCAGATGATACCAAACTGGGTGGGGTTGCAACTTCTTTGGAGGATAGGGACATAATTCAAAATCACCTTAGCAAGTTAGAGAAATGGTCAGAGGTAAACAGGATGAAGTTTAATAAAGAGAAATGCAAAGTGCTCCACTTAGGAAGGAACAATCAGTTCCATCCATACAAGATGGGAAGCGACTGTCTAGGAAGGAGTATGGCGGAAAGGGATCTAGGGGTCATAGTGGACCACAAGTTGAATATGAGTCAACAGTGTGATGCTGTTGCAAAAAAAGCAAATATGATTCTAGGTTGTATCAACAGGTGTGTTTGTAAGCAAAACTCGTGAAGTCATTCTGCCACTCTACTCTGCACTAGTTAGGCCTCAGCTGGAGTACTGGCTCCAGTTCTGGGCGCCACATTTCAAGAAAGATGTGGAGAAATTGGAAAGGGTACAGAGAAGAGCGACAAGAATGATTAAAGGTTTAGAGAACATGACCTATGAAGCCAGGCTTCATGAACTGGGCTTGTTTAGTTTGGAAAAAAGAAGATTAAGGGGGGACATGATAGCGGTTTTCAAATATCTAGAAGGGTGTCACAAGGAGGAAGGAGAAAATTTGTTCCTCTTGGTTTCTGAGGACAGGACAAGGAGTAATGGGCTTAAAGTGCAGCAGGGGAGGTTTAGATTGGACATTAGGAAAAAATTCCTAACTGTCAGGGTGGTCAAATATTGGAATAAATTGCCAAGGGAGGTGGTGGAATCTCCCCCTCTCGAGATATTTAAGAACAGGTTAGATAGACATCTGTCAGGGATGGTGTAGACGGAGCTTGGTCCTGCCTTGAGGGCGGGGGGCTGGACTCGATGACCTCTCGAGGTCCCTTCTAGTCCTATGATTCTATGATTCTATGAAAAGTAGGTGTATTTACCCATCTTAGGTACTGATGTAGTCCACATTACCATTGTTGCTAAGCACCTCACAACCTTCAGTGCATTTATCCTCAACATACTCCAGTGAGTTAAGGAAATTCCATTATTTTTCATGTAGGGAAGTGAGGTTCTGAGAGATTTAGTAACTTGCCCAAGGTCACACAGGAAATCTATATCACAGCAGGGAACTGTACCTATATCTCCCAAGTCCCGGATTTGTGTCCTCATCACTAGACCAGCCTTCCCCATACTTAATGTGTGATTTTTTTTGCTAGATTTATAGATATACATAACATACTGTATAGAAATGTGGAATTTGTGAACTGTTGAAGAATAAAAATCAAACAGCCAGATGATTATGTAAAGCTACACATAACTCTTTTCACTTAGTTTACTTGATGTTAGCCAAAAGTTTGACTCTTCTTGCATTTGTCCTGAAATCTAGTTATTTCACAGTACCATTTGTGCAAGGTATGCAAGTACATTATGCATGGGAGTGAAGCCATAAAAATATTATTTTAATGAAGAGGGCCACTGCAAAACATTTACTTACTAAATGAATCATTTATTTTGAAAAGGGTATATAATTTTCCCTACAAATATATAACCACCAACTGATCAAAATGAAACAATTGAAGCTCTGGCTTGTATTTCCCTACCTATCACTGAAACACCTCTGGGATGTAACATACCAGAATTTTAACACAGCACAGCAACTATACTACAATTTAGAAAATAAAGTAAAGAGCCTACCCTGTCCAAGGCAAAGTGTAAGGGAAACATGAGATTGCATTCTGCTTCAGAGTGTGTTTTCAACATTTAAATTTGCCCAGAAGACTGGGTTTTAACACTCTTACCTTTCTAAAATAGTGATAGAACTATATTGAACTTAAACACCTTCATTTAAAATCTCAGCCAAATTGTAACCTTTCCAGAGCACAGTGTCCCCTAGCACCATACAGTATTACTTTAATTAGGACTCAGACGGAAGAGTCACGTGCAGAATAACCAATGCCCTTTCTTATAGCATCTATGCTTTCTTTGGCAGCCTTCTGCTCAACTACTAACCAGGGATGATCCATCTTAGTTTATGAGATGAGACAGATCACAGCCTAAAGTGGAATGGCTGCAAGTCCATACTGAAAAGCACACTTTAAGGAGATTCATTCTGAGCAGTGTCTGTTAACAAGAAGTGATAAACCGCACTACGCTATCTCAGCAAATATTTTTTCCTATTAGCACTTAAAAGAATGCAAAAGCCTAGCAGTTCTTTCACTCTGGTGGATAAAGTTACTTTTCCAGAACTTGGTGCTTATTACTGCACTTTTGAGATTGAAAAGTTTCTATCGGCATAATTTCAAAGCCCACTGAAATCACTGGAATCTTGCATTTTACTTTAATGGGTGTTGGGTCGGCCCACAATCCTCAGGGTGAATTGAGAGTGCAAAACTGACTATTTTACACTCTGTATTCTTCTGTTTTATATACTCTAAGGAAAAACAAGTGTTGGTTATGATCAAGGTTCTCTTCCCATGCAAAATTGAAGGGCTCTCCAAGCTTCCATGCAATGAAGGGCTAAGCTAAGTAATGTGGCACTAGCAACTCTACAGTTCTAATCTTGGCTCTGACTCAAGGTTACCTGTCTTCATTTCCCCAATGGTACAACATACACTTGCATCTGTCATAGGGAAAAATTAATGTTTTCAGAGCACTTTAAAAATGTAAACAGTTAATGGTATCTGCCAAACCACACAGCTGGATTGCAGGCATTCTTTGAAATAAAACTGTCATTGTAGCTGTGGGTCCTGACAGTTCTTGATTTAGGTTTTGTTCCACTGGTTATTTAATAAAAATTGTGGTGAATTTCTCTTCCTTTTTCTGGAACTCAACAGTCCACAAATAATCTTATTTACTGCCAATGGTGTAATGTATTAGAAATACATACTGTAAATATGCTGCCCGTATTTATATTCACGAAAGACAGCCTCTTACATAAAATAGATTCTAGAAATACAAATATTGGCCACTGTAAGCCTTGTTTTTCTTCCTAAGCCTAACGGAGAACAGCCAGTTCATAAGCTTTTCCAATTAAACCTATAAGGGCTTACTCACTGCAGCTGAGTATCTGATGAACAGATTACTTGCGCTCATTACAAACTGCTGGTATTACTGCTTTGAATGAACATGATACCAGCTCATCCAAAGCCAAGCCAAACTTATTTCTACTAAATAACCATAACTGCTGATCTTGCACAGAAACTGTATTACAATGTTTGAAAAGCAAGCTGGGTGTTGATTTACATGATACAGCGCTTGCTGTCACTGTTCTAAACATTGTGTGATATAACTATACATTTTGCATGCAAAACATAAGGAGACAAGTCAAATGCCTGATAGGACAACAGGCTACATATCAAGCAACTATTGAAAGCTGTGGTTTTATTTCAGATAGAAACAAAAATTGTTTTGCATAATGCTTTGCCCTTCACTTTTAGCTTTGATAATGCTTTACCAAAAAGTGATAAAAAGAATATCAAGGAATTAATACGAATTCACTTCAATTAAAGTTTACGTACATGTTACAACACTTTGAGAACGATTCTTCTGGACATTTTCCTCCTTTTGGGCAACGGTAGTAGCATTGGGTTCAGCTTGATAAGCACAAAGGGCCTCCCACTCTTTCTCCAGACGATTTTTATTCTTCAGATGGTCTTCCATATATGACTGAAATGAAAAGAATATACTGTCAGGCACCATTTTATGGACAGATTTTCAATATACTATAAAAAATATAGGGTTGAGCTAAAAGAATTTATATACTGTATATGAAGTCAAATGTCAAACAGGGCCAACTGTAAGGTGGCACTTATAAAGTTAGAAACCAGAGGTGGATCAGATCCCGCTCCCAATTTCCAAACTCTCAAAATTCTAGGGGATTGAATAGTGGAGAAATGGGAAGTGCAGAGAAGATGCTTCAGTTTGGCTTACCAGTAAGGGCAGGGATGTATTGTGGCATATATACAAATCAAACAACAGGAATTTTGAACTATGTTTGAATAGAGGTGATGGATGATACATAAACGGTCTTATTGAGGCAAAAAATGTGAATTAGTATAGCTGCAGATTGTGGTTGGCAACCAGTGCATGCAGGTGGCTTTCAGAGGCTAGCTCCAGCATAAGCTCAAGCATAGTACCTTGATTGGTGGACCGTGTTTTCCATTAGCCTGTGCGGGTATAGGAATGTCTTAAGTTTTTGTCGACTTAGTTATTCTTTATCTCCATGAGGAGGAAGGAGGGTGTAAGGGGGGATAAGAGTTTTGACATTGAGTTGAATCATTAATTTGATAGCAGGAGTCTGGCAAAAGGTGGCCAACAATTATTACCTTAAGCAGCTCTAGAGTCAATTAAAACCTTGCAATTCTGAGAGCAGGGGAGATCAGTCCCTCTCTTTATGATTAAAGTTAACAAAATTATGACTTGCCACTTTAAATCTGTTTACATGTCTATATCTTCCTGTATCTTCTCTTCATAATCTCTTCAATCATAATAAGCAATAAATTAATTGGTGAAGCTGAGGGAGAAACTGATGTTTGAAGAGGTTATATGACATGCTACAGGTTGTGAAAGAAGTTTGGGGCAGAGTCATAAAAGAACCCAGACTGCCTCATTTGGGATAATATATTTTGATATATCTGTTCCTTAAAAACCCTTTGTGTACAGTGAAAGCAGAAAATCTTTTATTGTTTGCTTTTTCACTCATCTTCTAACAGTGATTTCCACTGTGACACTTGCCTGCAAACAACAGCAGGCAAGATTTCCCAAAAAGTTTCCATTGCTCAAAAATATTTTATGAAGACTATCCATACCATGCCACATACTCACTTCCAATCATATTTCAAGGAAGAAGGCTGACATGTCCTTTCCACAGGTTTAAAAGAAAGATATCATAGGCTTTAAAACTGCCTTTTACCAAATGCAAGCTTTGCTAAAATCACCATCTCATCATGTTTCTTATGGAGCATTCAAAGCAGAATACTGTTTTCTCTTGCCAGTCAGTGTTTGTCAGTAAAGAAATGGTGTCTGACACTTTGCCTTTGCTTTCTGAAAAACACATGCGTCTCCCGTGGGCTGGGACTGAGGAGTGGAAATCATCCCACCAATACAAATAGCAAATAAATATGGACATTCGTAGAAAAAAAAGATTTAAATGCTACTCAACATATTGGACTAAAAGACATTTTGAGAGAGGCAGAGAAACAGTGGTAGAATAGAAACACATATGATAGCTACATATGTTGTATCTAACATGCCTGAGAGTGAGAAAAAAGGCATTTATATTGCTAAACAAAGATTCTCTCTCAAGAAAAGTTGGCACACTTGGAAAAAGAAAATAAGGAAAAGGGGTGTAATATACAGGAATTGGGATACCGCAGAACCAAGATTTGGGGTACTGGAGAGCTATTTATTACGAGATGGCCAAAAAGCAGATGACAACCATTTCTGAGGACAGCCAATAGTATCTTCAAATTTGAAGCTATGGTCCTGCAATCTGATTCATATGGGCAGGCACCTATCCCTGTGAGTTCCACAAACGTCAGTGGAACTCTGTATAGGTGTAAGGGTCTGACAATACAGGGTCTCTTTGAAGTCCCTGTAGCTCTGCTTAGTTGCAGGGATCTGTCTGTGCAGATCACATTCCTAAAATGAGACGGAAACTGCTTATTACGCAGCCACCACTATCCTATCCAGGAAGTTTCCAGTTGCTTCTATTTGTCACCTCAGAGATCTCATTTTATTTTTGTTGTTTACATTCCCTTTCTCCGTAAATAACGGAGTTCAGTATAATTAAGGAACTTGGGTTTTTTGGATATATATGTGTGTGTGTGTGTGCGCACATTTTAAAACAGCTTATGCTGTTTTTTTAATTTTTAAAAGGAATAACCTCTTATTCTAGGACAAATCTTTTTTTTTTCCTGACACTTGCTGGTAAACCTTAATTGAAAATGAATAAGAAGAAAATGTACTGAAAACCTTGCCTCTAACAAAGACAACTGTCTCTGAAATCATAATCAACATTTAAAACTGTGTTCATACATCACAGAGCAACACAAACCATTTTCAGCATGGAACACCCAGAATTGTTAGATATTTGAATGGCTATAGCAAGATGTGAAGGGGCCTCTCTCTATTCAGACTGACCTACCAGTTAAAAACAACTGCATAAACAAATGCATTAAAATTATTTTAAAGAAAGAAAAAAATAAAACAGCTTCAAACCACTCAGAAATCAGGAACTTCTACCATAATTAAGCCACATACTTTAATTTATTATCCCTTACAGCAAACTCCATTTCCCCACTGAATCTTGCTAGACAGGAATCTAGACAGGATATTCTGAAACAACCTCATGGGAATTCATGGGAGTATGCTACGCTCACTGGTGTGCTTCTGATATTTCAGAGTTTGTGCATGTCTACTCAAATCCACTCACTAATTAGGATGTTTTCATGAGACATTCTGCAATGCTTGTCTGGCACAATGGAAGTTCATTAACTGCATATCAAACACAAACACCATTTTTCAGTTCCCGAGGAGTACTCAAGAGAAAGGGAGGTTGTCACCCTTACAATTTTGATGTTATTGAAAGCCCTACATACACTGGCAGTGGCTAGTCTTACCAAGGTGCTCACTTATAGATCTGTCCTCAGCAATCTTGAGGGCATTGCTGTGGTCTACAGTGTTATGTGGAAATCCAGATTCAAGTCTCCTTGGGCAGTTTAGCATCATGAGATATTCACTTTCCTCAAGAACAGGGGCCCCAGTGATGCTGCACTTTCACATGTAGCATAGCTTACACATTCCCTTCTACAGCCAGATGAGCTATTCTTCCCAGGATCATGCTTAGTGGCAAGAAAGTGGACTCAAGTGATGCATCCAGTGCACAAAGTGTGTGCAGTGTGTTCTCAACCCAATATCCAAGACTGCAATCAGCAGGGACATGCTAGTTCGAAATTTCAGTGCACTCACATTAGGCTTTTACCAGGGTATTAAAAAAGCTACTCCCAAGGAAGGACAGCGAACTAGCACACTTGGTGGTGTCTTGTAGCCCATACTAAGACAGGTCGCAAACTCCCGAAAACAGGAAAGTAACTAACACTTAAATGTATGATTGGGGTTTGATAAGGACTTCCTGCCTGCTTTGCATTTGATTCACTGATTCTTATGATAGAATAGCAGTTAATTTGATGCAACAGCCATACCACTTGTCTGTTTTTATGTAAGACTTTACATTTGTGTAAGTGTTTTGTGGATAAATTAAGATTAACAAACAACAAACTGAAATCCTAATAGCATTGCTGTATCTCCAAATGCCACTTTTGAAGTTACTGTCTTGTCTGCCTGTTTGTTTACATGTAGCATGACCACCATCTGCTTTCAAAGCACCTGTTTTGCTAATGATTGTTCAGCAGTTACAAAATGCAATTATTTTTGGCAAAACACTTCCTATATTGATCATTGCTTAGAAAAGCACTCCTTTGATGCATTCCGTCACGAACAGGGATGCCTCTTTCAGTAAAAGATCAGCAACTTTAATATGATGGACCCGGGCAGATTTAATCTAATCTCAAATGTCAGCTGTGAAGGGAGGATTGAACATTATCTTAATCCTTATAACCAGTGACCACACAAATCCACACTTTACTCCTGATGGATCCATTGCCTCCAACATCCAAGCTGCTATTTATAAAGACAGTGGAAGGAAATCGAAATAAGAATTTGACATGCAAGAGCTTCCGAGTGCGGTAGATTTTGTACACTCACACACAATACTCTCCGCATAGGGAACATGAAACACATTGAGCCCTGCATCCTTGTCACACACTGGGTGTCACACACTCTCTTACAACCATCACAGACTCCATGGACTCTCCAAGCTCTACAGGGTGCCAAGTACCAAACCGAGCTCAGAAGCTGCTCTGATGCTGCTCCTTGGGCTGTACCCCTCCTCCCAAAAACTCCACAAAAGGCAGAAGAGCCCTGACAAGGGATGAGCTAGGCAGAAATGTAATATGTCCTCTGGCTGTATTACATTTCCAAAAAAAACACTTCAGATGTAACTGTTATGTGCACTGTCACCTCAACCTCCTGGAGCCTGCCCTCTCTCTACCTCCTCCTGGTGATCCAGAGATATCTAAATGGAACATGTCATGGGGCCACTGGCAGTACCAAGACAAGTGACCGAGACCACCGATGAGGGACATGGACAAGTTACTGAGACTGCCTAACAGAGACAGTCAGAG